GAGCGACACTTATGGATTTTTATGTTCTGTTTGATATTTTTTGAATATCACTCTTAATTATTCGTTTTTTTATGTTGTCTTACATGAGCTTAAAACTTGGTTTCTTTGTGATTTTGGCCCGAAACTTTTGAGTTCTATTTCGCCTTATGTTTGTTTCCTTGTACTCTGACCGAAATACTGAGTGGTTTTCTCGGAATTTATCATCACGGTCGTTATACAGAACAATGTTTTCATATTTTGCAGTCTGTAAGCAAAAATGGAAGCATATTTGATCGGAATTTGGTAATGTACCAAATATTTGTGTTTTGATCGAAGTGGAATAGGGAATTTCAGTGTAACATGAGCGTCCGTTAGCAGTCATGATCTCTCGTACCACTTGAAGAATTAAAGAAGTTTAGGTAAGAATAAAGTCAATTTTCAACGCCACGGACACTTGAAAATATTTGGTTTCCGATGTTTATCTTTAGTTAACAGAGAGCCAGATAGTCAACTTAGTCCAAGGAAAACCTAGGACCCTTCCCGAATCTTGCCCAGGAGTTAAATCGAGTGTATGTCCTACTAGAACCTGTTGAACATTACTGAACTGAAAAGTAAGTGTTGCCTTTTCCTCAGTGCTTAAAAGTTCAATATCTGGTGTTCCACCGTGTTCTTCCATTAATTTAGTTAGCGAGTGCTGCGAACGAGAGTATTATTCCATTAAATTCAATTATCTAAAGCTATCTTTACACATATCTTCGGAGAACATGCTCCTGTAACCCATCTTCAATTTCCAGATGAAAAAATCGAGTTGAGTAAGAGCATCAAATAAAATCCTCTATGAAAATTGCAGTCTAGCATGTATTATCCACGAGAAAATGTCAGAAATTTCTCAATACCTCCAGGCGATGTTGACACTGAGACAGGTGTATAGCAAATATGCGGATATGCAAACAATTTTTTATATGGCTCTTTCATATCCTATCAGTAGGCTTCAAACTCACTGAATATCTGTATCCGTTAGAGGTTGGGAGTTGGTTATGAGCCCGTACGTTTACATTGCAAAAAGGTGTGGATCCAATAAACGGAAAACGAGTAAACGTTTTACTGATTGTCTTAAAGCCACCAAAATCAAATTCTGGCCAGAACCAATTGGAAAAATGTTCATGTCATCATCTAACTATTCTGCAACGGCACCTTAGGAAATTGATTCGAACATTAGAGTTGGTTTATTTACAATGTTTCTAAAAATCGACCTCACGGGTCACCCTACGAATAATGCAATCGATTGATACAGAACTATGGACACTACATATACCTGGCCAGAAATTTGTGGCCACAACTAATTGGCTGGTCGCAAAACTGTCAGTAGCAGCATAAGTAGTTGACAGCAATCGACAACCAAATAAAGAATAATTGTCATTAATTGATACTTGTACAGAAAGTCCAAAGTATAGTTAGGTAATTATGGTGTAACCGTCCCGTTTAGTGTATATCCGCACTGCTTCCGTATCCTGTTACAGTTAAATTACAAGCGTCAGAAGCAAACCAGTATCCCAGCAGAAATTAAACTCATCGTAAGCACATAAGCTAACGGTAGCTTCGTATGATGAAAGAAGCAACATTTTTTTAAATGTGTCTATTCACGGTCAGCATTTTTTCAGTTTTTCTTTACCCAATTGGAAAAGCTCTAGAGAGGCGACTTTACATAAATTTTGAACAAACCTGATACTAACAGAAGAAAGAATTCAGATAGGCGGTTCGGATTGGCCAGATGAGATACCAAATCGTTATATTTTAGTACCCCATATCTCCGTGGATCTCTTGCACCTTGACAGTGAATTCAAAGATGCTACAGGTATTCGGAGTATGAAAACGCCCTTACATGTATTACCTTCATAATTGAAGGATACCAACTCAGTCACATTAGAAGACGGAAATGAAGATGTCCGAAATTATATTTCTAATGCTACCGGTACATCGAGGTGATAGTTATGTCAATAGCCAACTAATCAAATCATTGCCTAGGCTCCCACCACGTTTATCTAGTCTGATGTGTTGTAGACAATCTCTGTTGCATGTGACGTGTCAAACGAAGGTCATTATTACCCTATTATATTCGTATAACTCATAATTTTTCTTCATTTTGATAGGAAATGCAATACTGTTCGATATGTTTGTGTGTTTGATTTAATGACTACAATTCCTTTAATTATTGTACTAATCTAATTGTTTTTACTTCTAGAAACAGATAACGTTTAAAGCCAAGTTGTCGTTGTCCTGACCATAGACTCTGGGTCCGCCAGTATCGAGTTTATGGTTCTAGTAGTATATCTGTAGGACAAATTAAGTCCTACAAAGTTTCGATCAGTATCTCACCAAAAATTCATAAGTTGAGTGCTGTTAAATGCCTACGGAGATTCATAAAACCGATCAGATTCCTGAATTGTCTCCCTACTATTCAGACACTAATAAGTGATCCATTTGGTAGCTATTTCCCCCAAACTGGTTTTCACCATGAGAGTTAGAATTAACTAAACTACGTCTAGCCCAGATAGAAAGAGAAGTTGCGTTAGAACGATCACATCAAAAGAGAAGAGAACATCATAGTCAAGTTGTGGCTGGCAAGGTGATGTCGTACATGTTTACATCGGCCTCACATGCAGTTGATTTTCCTCCTGGAAAGGACTGGATAACAACGATATCTAAGGCTTTTTACCCACCAAAGAGAGAGATCGTATGGTTTGATGGGGATCCCATGAACTATTAGAGTTCGATACATAATTTCAAAAACTGCTTCGACGGTGTTGTAAGTCGATCTAGGTTAAAATATTTGATTCATTTTTATTATGGTGAACATAAGGCTACTATTGTGCGCTGCTCAAACTAAAAGAAGGCTATCACAAATCGTCATGTTTATTATGTATTGGGAACCGCTTCCTAGACTAATGTGAAGAGTTTAGAGTTAAGGATGTTAATGAAAGCATATAGTTTGTATGAAAGAAACGTAATGTCTGTCTGAAGGCAAACCACATAGCAAGACACTGTAGAGCACAGAGGTCATATGCCGTCGAGGTATGTGGCTAGAGACACCATACTTCTTTACACAAGAAGCGGGATGAGCTGATAGTAATAGTAATTCCCACAATAATACTCAACTCTGTACGGAGGAAAGTGTTAAGCGTGGACAGAGACAAGTAGCATATTCAGTAGTGCCTGTATTGGTAAAAAATGGAGAAAGAAAAGTACAGACCTGTGCTCTCCAAGACAGTGGCTCAGATGCTTTGATTATTACAGAAGATCTAGCTAGAATGTTGGGTTTGGCGGGAGAGTCCAAGACGCTTCTAATGAAGACACTGGGTAGCAAGTCCACATTTTCTTGTAAAGAGGCTGAACTAGAAGTTTTCTACTTAGATTTTCCTTCATCAATTAGAATTCCAAAGGTATGTACAGTCGAGATATTACCTATATTACATAGGGAGGTGCCAGTGACATCTAAGATGGCATTGTGGTTTCACTTGCACGGTGTGACCCTCTCAAGAGTTGACTACGAACAAGTCAACGTGCTGATAGGGTGCAATGTACATGAAACACATGAGAAAAAAGAGAAAAAATTGGGAAAATCTATCTAACCATACGCCATAAAGCCTCCTTTGGTATGGATTTTGTTTGGACCTTACAGTGAAACCACGAGAAATATGGGTATCATAAATTATCTATTATCTAAATGTGAACTAGAAGCTAGATTACACCAGTTATATAAGATGGACTTTGGAGAAGGCCCGAATCACCGTGAGCCCATAACGGTTGAAGATCGTAAAACCTAGATGCCATGTCCAAATCTATACAGGTAGTGAACGAGCATTACCAAATAGCTTTGCCATGACGTCACCAACAAAGCCCACACAATGATAGAAAACAAGCTATGTGTGGATTAAATTCCTGGAGAAACCTGCTCATCCGTGACCAGAGCTTGCGTAATGAATGTGTTAATACGATGGCACAGTATGTTAGATGGGGCTACACCGAAAAGGCTACAGAGAACTTCATTAGGTGTCGGGATCGCATAGCGGAACTAGGCTTCGATATTGTGGGGCCATGATTGCACCAGCTGAAATGTGAGAGGCGGAATGGTCTTGATCTTAAATAACTTAGGAGTCTGTTCCGTCACGATAGATATAAGTATAGCGATGCGCGAGAAAAAATATCCGAAAATATGAAAACAGTATCGCAACATGTGAAAATAAAAATTACGAAATGATATATAATGTTCCAACAGGGAGCAAGCACACAGTCCACTGTTTGGTGTACCAAATCTCGTCGAGCTCACTAATGAAAACGCCGTTACACTGAAGATGCCAAAGGTATTTAGAGTTTGACAACGCTTTAACCAGTAAAACCTAATATGAATCGTACTCACCAAGTGAAATCAAAAGACAGAAGCGAGGAGGTTTAAAGATATATTTAATAGCCTATCAATATATCGAGAATCGTCTAATCTAATCTGGGTAGCGAATGCAGGTGTTGAGCACAGCGTTCGTACTCATGATCTGGTGTGGATGCATGACTGAGCACCTTCAGCTAGGTGAGCCCATTAAAATTAATGTGGTCAGCATCCAATGTCGAAGACTTACAGAGCTATTTATTTTGGGAATTTTTTTACCGCTACAACACCTAGCACCTTCATAATGGAAGGATACCAACTCAGTCAAATCAGAAGGCAAAAATGAAGGGGTTCGGGGTTATAACTGGAAAGCTATCAATATATCGAAAAGCATTCGGTCTAAGCTGGCTGACAGTTGCGAGAGAACTATTTATTTTGGGAATTCTTTCACCACAACACTATCAAAGCCTAGTGGAAGAACAGTTGAGAAAATCCATTAACGAAAACAATCTTCCGGGAGTAATATTATTGATATATTAAAGAAATGTAATAGTTATTAGGCGCCTAATCGATGTCAGACAGTTTGACAGATTCTTGGGACCATCAGCCTTAATTTAATTTATTGATGTTAGAACGTATGAACATAACATTCGTGAAAGGCGTAAATTAGAAGTTGTAAAACGTTCTGATGTTACTTCAGCAATAAACATAAGGTAAAAAATTTCAAATCCAGACTTCTAATACTCAAATCACTGTCTTTTTTCGTAGTGTAACATATTACTTGCTTTTTCAGCGATCATCGCCCCGCTTTATACCACGCTATAATATACCAATTATTTTCTTTGTATCGTTAAATATACTTATGTTCCTACTTGGAGGTATCGGCGACCCACTATTACTAGATGCGGCAGCTCGTTAGGCAGAAGCTTTTTCTATTTCGTTCAGGACCACTTGAACTATTAGAAAAACACTTAAAGGCGCCGAATGACAACATTGTGACCTTCATTTAGCAGTAACAAATGAGAAGCTGGCCCGTGGGTTTTTTGGTGTATTTTATGCTCATTTTCACGTTAATTAAACTTTTTTTCGTTTAAAATACTAGCATGCATGTCTGTAGTAGTCTACCACGTACACGCAAACGTAGAAGCAATACATTCACTCAGTCTATATATATATATATATATATATATATATATATATATATATATATATATATATATATATATATATATGCTGTTTGGCACTCGTCAACAAGGTGGGAACGAAATTAGTGAAGGGTCTTTCTAAACTCCCTTACGATGAGCGTTTAAAACGCTTAAACCTTTTCCCCTTGTCGTATCGTAGGACTCGAGGTGACCTTATACTGGCATTTCGTATCTTTAATTATGATTTGGGTGTTAATATGTCTTATCTTTTTGCTCCCTCCAGCACTAATAATCTCCGAGGTCATAGCAAGAAGGTTCACAAACCACGATCTATTAAACTCAAGGTGGGGTTCCGTTTTTCTCATCGAGTAGTCTGTAATCCTTGAGGGAACTGGTGCTCCCTGGCGGATTCGATCTCGTGTCACCCAGCTTCACGAAACCCGGGTCCAGGGTTTCCTGTCGACTACCTCCAACCACCATCTAATCTTACAATAGTGCCCGCGGTGTCCAGTCACCTAGACTGGTGGCCACATTGCAACATGATCGGCAGCATTCGACCTGCACTAATAATAAGGACTAGACACGCATGACATTAATATCTATATATATATATATATATATATATATATATATATATATATAGTTCTGATATATATATCAGAACTATATGTGGTTTCGATTAAAAATATTTGTATACGATTCTCTGTGCTAGAATTTCTTTACGTTCGTGTAATTACTTACTTAAAAAGTGCTCAAACTCTGATAGCTTTCGTTTTTTAACATAAATACATGCCTCTTCGTTTTCACTTGTATCGACGATTTTTATGAATGGATGGGCTCAACCTGAATGTAGTTTTTGCAGTCTTTGTGAAGATTTGAAAAGCACCTTACAATTAGTGGCAACAGTTTCTGTGTTAGCATATCATTATCACATACCTTTCACCTCCATACGGTGATTTAGCATGATCCCGAACTAGCGTAAACAGTGGTTGTACACAAGATTTCTGTTTCATTTGGGGCACTTCTGTGCTTGAAGGAAATTTAATATTGTTGGCATACCTTGGCTGAGGTATATTTGTATCAGTATTATTATTTATTTATTCTAACACAGATATTGGCACAAGAAGGCACCAAATACATATGCGCCACACAAATCTCATTTGATATATGTGAGGGCTGTGATATCGCCCGGGTGCCCAAACCGAAGCAGGTGGTTTTCTTAGGGGGCCACACCTCATATTTGTATCAGGCTCTACATTGATTATGATCGCCTGAGTCTCTGTAATAACTCTCTAGCATTTCAATAGGTGGATATGTATTTTATCATATATATGATAAAATACATATGGATTTGCTATCTAAGGGCTGTTATAAAGTTACTAAGTCCAGGAAGATGTAAGACAGATTTCTAATTTATTCGAACCCTACTGGTTTATCCCAAGCTTTACGTTCTTAATCGACTTCTGAAACTGCCGAAGTTCTGTCTTTTGGAAACCCCACTGATGGATATACGCAGTTTGGAATGGTGATTTGTAGCTCAGGTCGATGATTTTGATGTTGTTTTATTCTCCGAGCTGGTTGGTTTGGTCGTAGAGCTTTAATCGTTCTTCTGAATGACATCATCAGCACATGCTTCAGGTAGTTTTGATGTTCAGTTAGACGATGAAAGCTCCACGACCAAACCATCCAGCCGGGGGAACAAAACTCCATCATAAATAGTATGGGTTTTACTCATGACTCTTAAAACGTAAAGCTTCATTGTTGCCAGATCTTACCAGTAGTAAGACAGTGCTTAGCACCTGACTGTTGTTTATGTTTAGACTTACAGTAAGTTCGCTGCACTAATGGTCTGTTTCAGATTTAGTGCTGCATTTACAACTCAATAGACATCGATTTAGTACACAAACAATTAGATAAAAACCTTAATTTCGTTCCGGTCATATGCATTAACCTCCGACATCTCTACTTTACCGTGAGCTGTATCCATAAATGATTGTCACTATATTTCTCATCAGCTTATCATAGTTAGATAGTTTGTTGATGTGTTCGTTTAACAAGATTTAACCTGCCGATGGCTTTTGTTCTCCGAAAGGTCGTTATGTAGCATAAATAATAAAAAGTAAAACTAAGTACAGCAGATGTCTTTTGTTTTCAAAGTAGTGTACATTAACAGTGAAACATGCTGTCGTTCGTAAGTTTCTGACATGAAATCCCAACCCACTGCTTTAGGACCGAATTCTCACTAGGGGGAAGGGCTTGGTTGATTTCTCGCTCTGTTCAAAGTAACGAATGTGTACGTTTGCATAAAGTGGTATTACGTCCAAATAAAGACTCCCGAAATTCTTGCTTTCTTTAGTCTTATTACCTGGTCATCTGAGTGAGAATGTCTACAAAGGCAAGACGCCGTCTTATGAACGATTTCAAGAAAATTCAACTTGATCCTCCTCCTGGTGTATACGCTGTTCCACTTGATGACAACATAATGAAATGGCATGCAATTATTTTGGGGCCGGATGGCACAGCATTCGCAGACGGTATATTTCGGCTAACAATGGAGTTCACCGAGAACTATCCTAACGTCCCACCGATTGTGCGATTCGTTTCCAAAATGTTTCATCCCAATGTGTATAGTGATGGTAGTATATGTTTGGATATATTGCAAAATATGTGGTCTCCGTCATATAACATTGGAGCAATCTTAACATCATTACAGTCACTTTTGGGGGACCCGAACCCCAACTCTCCTGCAAATACGACAGCAGCAGAATTATTCGAAGAAGACAAACGCCAGTATGAAACACAAGTCCGAGTCATTGTTGAGGAATCGTGGCGAAACGATGAGTCTGTTGATTGACTTCGTACTGTATTTGAGCACTTGCTTTATGTACTTGTAAATAATATTAATTTCTGAAGTGTACCAGTTCTTATAGCATAAGGTATGAATAACATATTATCTAGGACCTAGTTTACATACACTACTATTTTTAATATGGCAATTTATGAAATCATGTTTGGTTGTTTCTGAAATATGACGACGGCCTGAGATTATTGCTTAGATTTACGTATTAGTACTAGATGGTCACCGAATTCATAGAATTAATTCAATGGTGGTAATATATAAAAGAAAGATTGCATATAATGATATAGTACAGGAAGAAAGAATTAGTTGGTAGAAAGAAAGATATAAGTAACTACTAATACACGTACAACTAACGATCAGATATATTTTAGAGATTTGAGTGAGGGTATATAACACTACTAAATCACAGTTATCCTCTAATAGAGATTCGCGAATAAAAAGTAAACGGATATTCAGATTCCCCATAGTTATGCTACTTCCACTCAACTCATTTGTTAAGAAATGAAATTGTTCAACTGAGTAAAGATAGATTCAATAAGAGCATGCAGATTGCAATCTTAGCACTTTATTTTATTTGAACACATAAATACTGGTACAAGAGGGCACCAAATATATATGCGCCACACGAACTTTTATTTGTGTGTGGGCTGCGGTACTGCCCGGGTGCCCAAACCGAAGCAGGTGGTTTTCTTAGCCGTCCACACCCCGAGCCTTCGACCTAAAGGTTTAACCCACAAGGCAGTGGAGCATCGTGAGGAGATGCAGTCTCATGGAAGCCGGTGACCAAATAATTGGTTCATACGCCATTTGTTCCCGCAGGATACTGGAGCCCATGTGCACCATTGATTTGGGATCCGATTAAAGCGTTGGACATTCGCTTTTCGTCCTCTCATTTTTGTAAACAACGCCCCCGCCACGAGGAGACAGTGAATAGGACTCCCCTGGCAGAGGCTATATACGCGTGAGAGCGAACCCACCCTACTCTCGGCCATACCAGGGCATTTGGGGGCAAATATTACTAGTATATTCGAGTGACATAACTTGTTATGGCGGAGAGTTGGGAACTTCGCACGTACGTACATCAGTTCGAGTTGCCATACCACATTAGCACAGAGATTCGGTTATCGATTCAAATCCCGTAGTGGCAGAGTAGTGACAGGAAACGTTAAGGTTTGGTGATGTTATTTAAGGAGTATAGCCCAGTGGTATATATTTGGAAAGAAAATAAAAGACATGAAAAATTCAGAAGATTAGAGTTTGGGAGAACACAGAGAGTGGATGCACCTGCCCCAGCTTTCACCTAAAGTGTATATGGTGTAGTTTTACTTAAATACTAATCTTGATGTTTTACTCAGTTTTCGGACTATTTGTTCGATATTTTTATCAGTTACGTTCTTTGACATAAATGATTAAGGACGAAATTTCCAACAATTTTTTGCCAATCCCATGGTCTCGAATAAATAACATCCTTAAATCAATTTTCTTGTCATCGTACGATTAAGAAGTATTTTTAGGAGCAACCGTCCGATTCGGTCATCCTAACTACTATATTAAAGATTAAGTTGTCGGTTGGCGACAAACCTTAGGCTTAGGAAATAATTGATAATACTCTTTTGATCAGTGTTAGCTACGCTGATAACAAAACGATCATATAGACCAACATATATAAGCGAACAATGTTGTTTCCAATTAGATCCTCATTATGAAACATGGATTTAAGAGTTTGTTGTTCTTGTCACAACTAGTAACCTGTCATCACACTATCAATTTGTACTCTTTATTTATTATGTGATCCGTCCCACTGTTATCATTGACTCATAAACCGTCTTGATTGGTTTAATAATTTCGTAAATGCATATGAACATTACTGTATATTGAGGTAAAGCCTTATGAGGATCTAATTGGAAACAACATTGTTCGCTTATATATGTTGTTCTAATTTTTAAGACTACATAGACCATCACAAAGTCAGGTAATGTCGAATAATGCAAAACCATATAAAATCGAAAGATACATTTATATGATACAATGATGAGAAACTAATAAACTCAGAATTAAAGTAATCAGGATTTATCAGATGGGGCTTTAACTTATTAACATTCGAGTTAACAAGAGAGTAGTTGGCGGTCAAAAGTGTATGGGAAGAATCACAGTTCATTAACTTTAAAGGACGGTTAAACGGCGGAATGTTACTTCATGAATTAGGTGGACCTTTGCTGACGGGAACGATACAGCTGACGCGCATGATTTAAAAGAGCTTCACGACGTTCAGTAAGGCTTAATTGACGTGAACTAGAGTTTGATAGGAACTGTGTAGCAGCAACTGTGAACCTGCTGGGAGACATGACAGAAATAGTGGGATCGACCTGATTACTGTCTCGTTGAGTATCCGAGTCATGTGGATTTTCCAGAAGGTAATCAATAGCTGATTCAACGTCACCTTGAGTATTTACTAAAAAATGTATCATTTGATATAATATTCACATTGGATTAAAAAACGTGATATTTTCAAGGTAGAAATAAAAAACCATATACAAAATGAAGGTTACGTACATTGAATTCCCATTTTTATCATACAAAAATATTGAACCAACCCTAACCATTGACATATGACAGGTTTTCCTCTACATCAGAATAAGTCGTTCAGCAATCAAAATGTGCAGATTACATTATGTCAAGATAGGCTACCGTGTATTTACTTTAACATCAGTATGAGTTTACTTTCGTAACAAAAATCTGAATCACCAGCTACTTATAATGAAATACGTTCAGTAAGTATCTTATTCTTTAGGACATCAAAATCAGTACTGTGGTTGGTGATACGTCTTCCGATTTTGAACGCTATACTCGATTCCTAAGGTATTCTTGAAACCCTCAAGCTAGAACCGTACAGCGACCTGAACACGAGAGAGAAGGCGCAAGTATGCGAAAAGTACTTTACTCCAAGGTTCCTTTTAATACAGAAAACAGAGGGTTTTTGTAATATTCTAAATGTCCTTGGGTTGCTCGAAGATTCTGGAATGCTACTAAACATAGTAGCGGTATAACAATCAACCAATCAGAACCTCTACATGTGACGTTTCACATCCTTGATGTTTCTGGCTAAACTCCAAGTGAACGCTGATTGGATGAAAATGCTTCTTAATGTTTCCTGATCCTTGCGTGTCTTTTGCGAGAACTTTTCTGGATCATCCCAACAGTTGGTTTCCCTAGTATTCCTCAGCATAAAATTGCTACTGCTAAATAGTTCTGATTGCGACTGACTAAGATTCCCTCAAAAACCTACGAGACTGTAACAATTCTGACAATACCTGGCACTTACAATATTTGCGTAATAGCCTTAAAACCTCGATGTGATCTTTTTCGATAGGTTTTTAAAATTCTGGATTTCTGAGATTGACAGTGAAACTTTAGTACCTAAGCTACGATATATCCTAAGAGCCCATACACTTTCCTTGTGCTATAGTTGACTCAGTTTCGCAGTAGAAATAAATAAATTCTACGTGCCTAAGTGAAGAATGCAATATACTGAGTTCAAACACTTATCCACAGGTAACCACACTTGAGAAGTAAATTTCCGGCCATTGTCCAGTAATTTGGTATGTGGTGTAAAGAACAGATTGTTCTTGGGTCTCAGTGAGGACTTATCTGATTTTCATATCGTACACTGCTAACAGTTATCTTACAAGCATATCAAATAAATACTACTAGTGTTCAACTATACCAAAACGAGTATCAATCAAACCGTGTACTTATGGATAGTTACTTTACATATCAAAAGCCTAAAAATTAGATTACAAGCAGAAATCTAGTTTCTACCTAACCAAGAGCAGTCTTACATTAGATATAAAACCTTACCAAGAGCTTCACGGATCCGAAACGCCGGTATGTCACGAAGTATTTCACTGACTCGAGGTACTAGATGTTCGAAAGTGAAGCATGAGTAGGTCTCGGAGGCTTCATGACTAGGCTGAATACAGTGGCGAAGACGAATTCCGTCACACTGGAGTATGTTTGAAATTAAAGAATCGCTTGATGAACTCGTGGAATGCTTTCTAGACAAGGGGGAACTGGGTGGCGTTGCAGATAGACTAGACATGGTACAAGATCGCGCATTAGGAAGAGAAAGCGAAGCAATGGGTGATTCCGCTCCAGTGTACTAGAAGTAAAAAGTAATTTAGGGGAGAACTATCTCACAGGAAAATAATTTGATAAAAATAATTATATCCAGAAAGAGATTTCGGACCAGGACCAATGTGATAATTCAGATTAACCTATTAGGCTTCACAATTTGGAAAGTCAAGTCAACAAGTCTTGCGACTTGATTAAGATAATTTATCAAAGACTTAACTTAGTTGTTAGTACCAACTTATACTATGTATTACGGACCATTTTTTAACTTTAACTATTTTAAACACGACTCTAAACTGGTGCATAACGGGCTGGAATCTATTTTCATGTAATGAGATTTAAAAAACTAAGTTGTTGAAACTGATAGTTAAGTTCGCCAAAATACATATATTTAATGTTACAGAACAGTTTTTACCAAACTGTTATTGTGGCATCGAAACCCTAGATAGGAAAAAATGTGATGGCAACTTACAACACATACTTAGAATTATTCTATTGATGTTTTTGTCCAAAGTTCAACAAACTGTACGACAGAACATGCTTTTTAATTTTTTGGGGTACTGAAAATGGTCTCAAAGTATAAGCTTTATCAGCCAAATATTTTAGTAGAAAGCATCTATTTAGAGACACTACCTTAGTTTTCAACGATAAATCACTAGACTTACGGAACATATGCACGTTCGCATACTCAGATATGGAGTCATCCTTGTTGTTTGATGATCACTGACATCCGACTGCTAAAACATTAAGACTATTACACACAACTTATTCGTCTTAATAGTTAAGATCATGAGTCAATTGAATCTAGACCACCATGAAAAACCTGGAAGCACTGGAAGACTGTTTCGTCCTATTGTGGGACCTCACAGTAGTGCGCACTCACGACTCCGCCACGTGGGATTCGGACCCAGGATCTATCAGTCTCTCGCACGAGCGCTGAACCATTGGGGCGGCATCCAACGGTGATGTCTAACTTCGACTAATCCACGAAATTGAGCGATACAACCACCATTGTCA